CCAGTGAACACTTTTTGTGGCTCTCACTTGACTTCAAAATCCGGATTCCTATTGAAGAGGGCTTGAGGTACAGTTGCTGGCAGGACTGGAAATTGTCTGTCCTCCAACTTCAGTTAACACCAACATCAACTGATCTCTGCTAAATTATACTTGTGGGCCTTTTTATAATGGCCTTGATGAAGAGTGAAAGGTTTGGGTGCATAATTGAAACTTCATGATAATTCCATGTTTCCTGGAAATAAAAACCTGAATTTTCTGTAAAGACTTTAAGGGGCTGTATCCAATCCGTACTTGCAAAGACTTTTTTAAGTTAGTGACATTCTTAAACACTTTCGTAGACTTTTGTTATAAATAATTAGCTATACAAAACTCATTCATTTAGTAAGTTTTTTAAAATTATTAACTTCATGTATGCACGCTGCTTGTTACTCTCTTATTAAAAAAAATAATTAATTGGCAAGATGACTTTGAATTTTTTTCAAGTAATTTAATTCCAGCATTGGTAGCTCTACATTTTTCTATTATGCATACTACCTACTGAGGTCTTTGTTGAAGTTTATAATTCCATGTTTTCTAGCAAAAGACAAAACTTCATTTTCTTCAGAGACGTGTTTTTGTGTTACCAAAATTTTCATTGACTAAGTCTTATTCTCGAAGTATTGAACATGAAAAAACTAACATGTAAGTCGACTTTGAATCCCTCAACTGCAGCACCTAATTTTAATACTCAAATATTTCAAATATTGGTTATCCTTTCGGGGGATCAAACAGGCCAGAGTATTGTGGCCACCCTGAGTTGAAGAGACTAAATTTTGGCTAAAAACTATGTACCCTTGGGTACCACCAGATCTCTCTCCCAAATATGTCAGCTTACACTCGTCCCTCATAAAAATGTAAGGGAGATATACTTCTTTTATATTGAACTTGAAGTCACACCACAACTGTCATTCTGAAATGAAGTGCACAACAACATTTTTGGAGTGCCAATAACAACCTTCTTTTTAAATCATTATATAGGGTTCTTTCTTTTTCTTTAATTTTTCTTAATGAAAAAAAGTTTAGGGGAAGGGGAGGCTGCCCCATCTTAGGGCCAAAACATACTAAGGCCTCTTTGAGGACTTACAGAGGTAGTCTTAGCCCATTTTTTCGTTTTTACAAATTACCCACCAAGAGGCATTGTTGTTAGCGGGATTCGAACCTAGGCCTTGGTAGCAAAGATAAAGATCTTTACCAACTCAACCAACCCTTATTGGCATTATAGGGTTCTTATTGATTATGTACTAATTAATTAATTAATATTTTAATGTTTTAGAAAAAGAAAAAACAGAAGGAATGTTCTCAAATTGTAAGCATTTCGCAACAAATTAGCGACACAATGACCAAATTTAAGGCAAATAAACAGTGACAAAAAAGGTAGTTTTTGTTGATGTAATCTACCAAATATCTTTGTTGCAATTGAGAGTCTTTTTTTAGCAATTGATTATTCATTCATCGATTAACATTTCTCTATCTTGTGGCTGTTTCAGGAATAAAGAAGGAAATTGCAATAGGTAATATTTCGTTGTAGTTCTTGATTGACTGTTAAAATGGTAGCCCGCCAAAGTGGTTTTAGAACTTAAATTACTGTTTAAAATGACTAGGAGCTTAACAAATAACTACATAAAATAAAAATCCAACAAATCAAGTAATTATAATGAAACAAGTATTTTGTTGCAGGTTTGGCTGTTGGTGGATTTTCCGTGATAGTAATCATTCTTTGTATTATTATATGCATATTGTGGAAGCAAAATGTCCGAAAATCGCTCCCACACATATCAAGAAAAAGAATGGTCTTATTCGTCAAGAAAGATAAGAGGGATGAGTTTGATGTTGAGGCATTTATAAGGAACTATGGATCGCTTACTCCAAAGCGGTATACCTATGCAAATGTCAAGAAAATGACAGACTCTTTCCGAGACAAACTAGGTAAAGGTGGATATGGAACTGTGTACAAAGGCAGGCTACCTGATGGGCTTCTCGTGGCGGTCAAAGTCCTAAGCGAGTCCAAGGGTAATGGAGAAGACTTTGTTAATGAAGTTGCTAGCATTGGTAGAACTTCCCATGTTAACATAGTCACTCTTTCTGGATTTTGTTACGAGAGGGGCAAAAGAGCTTTGATTTATGAGTTCATGCCTAATGGATCTCTGGATAATTTCATACAAAAGCACGGATCTGAAATGGCAAATTTTCGATTAGAATGGAAAACGCTATCTGAAATTGCAGTTGGTATTGCGCGAGGACTAGAATACTTACACCGTGGATGTAACACAAGAATTTTGCATTTTGACATAAAGCCACAGAACATTCTTCTCGACAAAGATTTTCGCCCAAAAATCTCTGATTTTGGCCTTGCCAAATTATGCAAAACGAAGGACAGTATTGTATCGATGATGGGGACAAGAGGAACTGCAGGATACATTGCACCAGAAGTGTTTAGCAGGAACTTTGGTGGAGTATCTCACAAATCTGATGTTTACAGCTACGGTATGTTGGTTCTTGAAATGGTTGGAGCAAAAAAGAATTTGGATTCGGGAGTGTCTCATACGAGTGAAATGTTTCCACATTATGTTTATAAAGATCTAGAGCTAGAAAAGGATGAAAATGCATATGGGGCAATCACAGAGGAGGAAAAAGAAATAGCAAGAAAGATGGTATTAATAAGTCTGTGGTGCATTCAGACCATTCCTTCTGATCGGCCATCAATGAGCAAAGTTGTAGAGATGTTGGAAGGACCCCTTCATTCCTTGCGAATTGCACCCAAACCTTTCTTGTTTTCTCCTACAATAGCTGCAGAAGGCTCTATGACTACAACTAGTGGCGGATCCACCATGGGGTCAATGGTGTCAGACGGCCCCATGGCAGCCTTGGAAATGGCTTCAAGGTCCCATGTTGGCCTTGGCAACCATGGGAGACGACCCCATGGGGAAGAAGACATGCAAGCTGTGAGGGAGAAGATAGAGGGAGGAAGAAGAGAGAGAGAGAGGGAGGAAGAAGAAAAAGAAGATAATGATTGACAGGGAGAAGAAATAGAAAAGAAGAGGAGAGAGAGAGAGAGAGGAAGGAAGAAGAAGACTGTTATTGAGAGGGAGAAGAAAGAAGGCACTGCGCAAATGATAAGCCTATATTTTATATATATTTTATGCCTCATTTACTTATTTATTTGTTAATTTCCTTGGGTTAAATTGGTTGTTTTAATTGGTTTTGTGAGATTTGTGAAGGAACTATGGAAATAGGAGAAAGTGTGCTAAAAAGGGCAAGAAGATGAAGATTGGAGATTAATTAAGTCAAACAAGGAGAAATAAAGAAGACTCTATTTTAGAAGGAATCCTACTTTTATAACAATTGTAATTATACCTTAGATAGGATTTCTAAGAGTTTTATAAATAGGAAGTTTAGGTCATTGTTAAAAGCACCACCGACCACCCATCACCCATCATCCTCTATATTCATACTCATAGCCTAAATATCCAAAGGAGAATACGAAGAAAGCTTGCGCAACCTTGGCATTCTACTTGGAAAATTTGGTGCCTTCCATGTCTTCATCAACCATCATGATTCTCAATAAGTCCTTCATGAACTAATTCCTTTTACTAGGGCTACGATGTAGCCTAGCTATGAATACTCAAATTCTTTGATATTGTTAATTTTATTTATCTATACATGTTGAGTGCTTGTTACCGTTCTTAATGCTTTCAATTAATTGGCCACTAATTGCATGGTTGGAAGAATTAGGTTGAGATCAGAAGGAGATTCCTAGTAAATAGCTTCTTGTAACAAGTACCATAAATTACATAGCCGACTCAGAAGACCTGGTTATGGTTTGTGTAATCTTTATTGTTTTTCACAAATCTTAATGGATTCTTAGCTATCTAAATCCATAACTAGGAATAGAGTGGGTTGACTGTAAGGAATACAACTGATATAACTCAGAAGAAAGTATTGGTGAGGTAAGGGAAAATGATTATCAACATGTTAGGTAATTAGAATTAACAAGCTAGAAGGATTTGGGTGGGATTAGCTAGGTGAAATCGGTGCCCTAGTTCTTTATCATTTTTATTTTCATCTTTTACATTATTTCCTTAATCTCAATTTATTTTGCTTGCTTGATTAGATTTTAATCATCATAATTCTCTTTTCGTTTAATTCAATTATAATTAGAAATAAATCACTATAGTATTTAATAGATTACTTGATCCCTGTTAGAACGATACTCTACTTACTACTATATTAATTTGAGTGATATTGTCCACTTGCAATTAATCACATCAAATTTTGGCACCGCTGCCGGGGATTGACTTAATCTGTTAATATTAGTGCGCTTTATTTTCTAGTTATATTTTGAATATTTAATCAATTAATTAAATTTTTATTTTATTTTTATTTCAGGTACTTTTTGAGTTCAACTTGAAAAAGGGAAAAACAAAAACAAAAAAAACAAAAAAAAACAAAAAAAAACGCAGCAAAAGATTGTGAGGGCTTTAGACCACTAACCAACCAAAAGGAAACAATAAAAAGCACCAGACACAAACAGCCAGCTCGCAAGAGAAAAAATAATAAATAAAAAAAAAAAGGGAAATTTTAAGTTAAAAAAAAAAAAAAAAAAAAAAAAAAAAAAAAAAAAAAAAAAAAAAAAAAGGGGAAACAACAATTCTACTTTTTCCTGTTAAAATTGAAACTTTCCAATTTCCTTTGGGTTTTATAATTAAAGTTTCTTTTCCTAATTGTGTTTGGGTTTTATTTCCTTCTTTAATTCTATTGCGCTCTCCTTATTTAAACAATCCTTTGTCCTTGTTTTACAGGTATAACAACTTCGTTTCTGAGCATACGGTGAATGACTGGTACCCGCTCTTCAACTAGCCAACTAGTTGAATTAGAACTTTGAGATTGAACAAAAGCTTCGAGCAATTCGTAAGAGTCAAAAACAAGACAGAGAAAAGAAGAATCAACAAGGAGAAGAAGAGATGGCCCTTGTACAGAATGAAACAATGGGAGACCTTGATATCCCGACAATTCTGATGTCACCTTCAAGCATCGTTCTCCCTACAGCTGCCAGGAATTATGAATTGAAAAATATCCACTTTAATATGATGCCTTCTTTTCATGGATTAAGTTCTAAAGATCCTTTAGCTCATATTAGAGATATTTTTAACATGGTTTCTAACATGGCTTTGACAGAGGAAGTCACCGAAGAACATCTCATGATGAAAGTCTTTCCCTACAAATTGAAAGATAAAGTAAAAATGTGGCTCAATTCCTTAAGACCTGGATTATTGACTAGCTGGACAGAGGTTCAAAACAAGTTCTTGGAGAAGTTCTTTTCGACTCAGAAAACTGATGCATTAAGGGATAAAATCATGCAATTCAGTCAACAGGCCGATGAGTCATTTTCAGAAGCTTGGGAACGGTTCAATAATTTTTTAATACAATGTCCTCACCATGGTTTGCTTACTCTAGTTCTCATGCGTATTTTTTATAAGACACTAACCGTTTCGAGTAAGGCTGCAGTGAATAACTATGCAGGTGGATCTATTAAGAACAAGACACCAACTGAATGTCAAACTTTGTTTGATACACTAGCAATTGAAACACAGCATTCTGATACAAGAGGTAAACGTGCTGGAATTTATGAAATTGGTAGTTCTAATGCTTTTGCTTCTAAAGAGAAGGTTGATGCTATAACTAGTAAATTGGACACCTTGCTTGCTATGAATGGGAGAGCACCAACACAAGAGATTTGCTCCATTTGTGTTGTTCCTGGTCATGCCACCATATCTTGTCCTCATGGGGTTGATTTTCCAGAATTTCTGCAAGAACAAGCCAACATGGTGAATACCTATAGACGTCCCGGCAATGATCCATTCTCCAACACATATAATCCGGGATGGTAAAGGCACCCCAATTTTTCATGGAGCAATACTCAAAACGTACAAAAACCACCACCTGGTTTTCTACCTCAAGAGAAGAAAATAAATTTGGAAGATGCTCTTACTCAATTAACTATGTCTACCACCCAATTTATGACTGAAACCAAAACCCAACTTCAAAATCAGAGCGCTTATATTCGGAACTTGGAGGTGCAAGTAGGCCAACTAGCTAATGCATTGAGTGGAAGAAATCATGGAGTTTTGCCGAGCCAACCTGAGGTTAATCCAAAAATTCAAGAACATGTGAAGGCAATCACACTTCAAAATGGGAGGCCCATAAAAACTGCTATAGATTTAGACACAGAAACGCAGCAACAACATCTGAAAACTAAGGAAAAATCATCTGAAAATTGCCCACCTGTAGCCGGACCACCGCAACCTTCCATCGTGAGCTCCACCGAAAATTCAGCAAAACCTAAACAACCACCATCCAAAAATCTCACTCCAAAATCCTATGTTCCACCGATTCCTTTTCCACAACGCTTGAAGAAAAATAAGAAGGATGCACAATTCTCCAAATTTCTTGAAATTTTTAGGAAATTGCAAATTACCATTCCATTTGGTGAAGCAATAGAGCAAATGCCAAACTATGGAAAGTTCATCAAAGACATCTTAAGCAAAAAGAGACGTTTGGAAGATACAGAGATGGTGGAATTGACTGAGGAGTGAAGCGCAATAATACAAAGTCATCTACCACCTAAGCGAAAGGATCCAAGGAAGTTTTCTATTCCTTGAACCATTGGCACTATTTCTTTTCAAAGAGCATTGTGTGATCTAAGTTCTAGTATTAATTTAATGCCTTTGTCTGTAGCTAAAAGAATTGGTTTGGGGGAAATTAAGAAAACTAATATTTCTTTGCAGATGGCGGATAGATCACTTACATATCCTCACGGCATTCTTGAAGATGTACTAGTGAAGGTGGATAAATTCATATTCCTAATTGATTTCATAGTTTTGGATATGGAAGAAGATGTCGACACTCCAATTATTTTAGGCCGCCCATTTCTCATTACGGGAAGAATGATAATTGACGTAGAAAAGGGTTCTTTGATCCTGCGAGATGCCGATCAAGAGGTGGAATTCAAAGTTTTTAATGCAACCAAGTATCCCATTGATTCAGAGTATTGTTTCCGTGTAGAAGCAGTAGATCATGTTGTTCGACCCCAATTCATGGCGGACCACCCAAAAGATCCACTAAAAGCAAATTTGATTCATGAGATAGAGGTAGTAGAAGAGCCACACGTGCTCGAAATGGTGAACTCATTGAAAACCAAGGCCGTCCCAAGCACCATTGCTGCACCAACCCTCACCTTGCAAAGATACTTAGAAGAAAATTGCAATCAACAAAAAGAAACCTTCGCTCTCCATGATCCCGGGTGATAATCATCCCAAAAGTCGGGCTGGGACCTATAAACCAAGCGCTTGTTGGGAGGCAACCCAACTAGGTACCTTTGTTTCTTTCTTTTAATTTTTTGTAATTTTTTTTTTAAATTCTTTATTTTCCATCCCTCTATGCCTTTACTAATCGTTACATGCATTTACTTTAAACATTGAGGACAATGCTTAGTTTAGGTTTGGGGGTGTGGAATTTTGTTGTTTATGTTGTTTTTGGAGGTTTACTTCATGCATCCAATGTAGGTTTATGAATGCGTTCTCTCCTTGGCTAGAATGGTAGGGAAAAAAAAACCATTAAAACCGCAACAAAAGATTAACAGGGCATTTTTATCAAAGCCAGATATTGTTGATCTTAATCTAGCCGAGCTGTAAACATCATAGCTAAGCTAATAAAGATCAACCTCAGCAACTAATCATGGTAAGCAAACCCAGAAGTGATATCAAACAAGTGCATCGTATAACAATATAAAAAAACAATCTGATCAGAAAAGAGGACAAAAAGGCCCCAGCAAACCACCAAAACCCCAACAAAAAGGAAAACAGAACCACAACCCAAACAAAACAAAACAGAAGACAAAACCCCCCAAAATAAACAAACAAGCCCCAAACTACAAGAAAATCTTATTCAAAGAACAACAATATCACAGAAAAAGGTAAAGAGAAACACACCAGGATTCTAAGTTTCCAAAAAACATTCAACAATCCTGCAACAGATAAATACATGCATGCCCACAAATCAGACTTCATCAAAAAATAATAAAATATTGAAACAAGAGCTTTAAAAAATCAAAGCATACAATCAGGCTTCACATCTACAACCCAACTAGTACATCGTCCATGTCTACATCATAAAATTTGTTTTCTAATTTTTATAACTAATCAGAAGGATTCATGGGTCATTTACCCATACTCAAATACCTTAAAAAATAAAAGAAATAGGAACAAAAATCTCACCAGAATAGGGGCCCTGTTTAAAGAAGAAGAACCAAATCAGACCCATTCGGAAAGAGCAAAGAAAACCCCCAAATTTAATCTCCCTGTCAATCTGAACTAGCAGATACGAAAATCATAACCACACGATTCATCGAACTCCAATAGCTCTAAGGAAGAGAACAATTTCTTCTTCAATGAAAAAAAAGAGAGGAAGAGGGAGGAGGGGTGAGTGAGTGACAGAGCAAAACCCAAAAACGAAAGAAAAAAAGAGAGAGAAGAGATGGTCTTTTTTGGTCAATGAGAGAGAGAGAGTCGGTTTGGAGGAAGTAGAGAGAAAGTTTAAGTAAAAAAATTATATTTAAGTCAGGCACTGGCAAACCAACTTGTCAGTACAAAAATCTGGCTTCCAAATTTGGGCGCTTAATATTGGGAAATTGGCGGCTTTGCCCCCGACGCAATTAATTTAGAGAGTTTCACTAAAACACTCAAAATGGGGGCTGAAATTATAAAAAAATCCAAACCCAAAACACTTTTTAAACACACCCAAAACCCATCATTACACACACTCAAAACTCATTTATAAACACACCCAAAAAATATACAATTATTAATTTTGGGGTTGATTTTGGGTGTGTTTCTCTGTTTAAATAGTGCTTGTGTTTTTTTATAAATACATGTCTAGGATTGGGTTTATTTATAAATTTGTAATTAATTTATTCAATAATATTCTCATTTTGAAATCTAATCACAAATATTCCCTATAAAAACTTCCTATTGACAGTTTATTGCCTATCTATCACTTTTTTTTTCTTCTCAATTGTTGCTCTTCCTCTTCCTCTTCTCCCTAGTCTCTTTCTCTTCCTATTCTTCAAACCTCACAGAAAATCCACCTCCACGAATCTCACCTAACTCCATATCCTCTTAGTTATATCTTCCATCTCCTATCTTTTCTTTTCTTCTCTCTCTCGCTCCCACCCATGATGACAACAATTGTCACCTCCTCAGAAACCTTAACTCATCCCTCTCTCTTGCGGCCGCCCTTCTCCACCTCCACCTCTCTCTCTGTCACTTCTTTCGACTGTTGTTCTTCCCCTCTGATTCAACAAATTTCTCAATTTTTCTCAGCTTTCCTAAAATCCATGGCATCTCAGGTACTCAACTTTTCTGCTTTACTTTCATACCCATATGTTATTTGGGTTTTCTTCTACTTGTTTCAATTTCATATATGGGTTGGAATTTTTGGTGCTTAATGTCACTTCAAGTCCCTCCAAGTCAAATTTGAGTGAGATTGTACATAAATTTGTTGAAACATAATTGTGGGTTTTATCTCTTTTTTTTTTAAATTAATTTTTTTTTAGCTTGTGTAGAGAATGTTATTTAAGTAGGATTATACAAAAACTTGTTGAACCAAAATTTTGGGATTGTGCAACAAATATTTCTCTGTTTGTCGTAAGGAATATTATGTTTGAAGCTTGAAGCTTGTCTAGGCTACAATGATTTTGAAGTTTTTCTTTTGCTGATTGAATTTTATTACTGAGTTAGGTTTTTATTCTGACAGAAAAACAATTGAAGAAACACAATTATTTGGTTCAATGGTCTCTTGGTTTTATAGGAATTGTGTGATCTAATATAAAAGAACATTCAGGCCACTTGAAAGTGTTCTGCATCTTCAAGAATCTGTTATGATCTAAATTTGTTTTGTTATGTTTTGGGATGTGATTTTTGAATGAACTACATAAATTGATATAATGAACTACTAAGTGAGCTCTCTGCATCCATAATATTGAATCAGCAATTATGAGCTTAAGAAGAAGCAAACGCTTGATATCCAGTAAGATAGTAATTGAAGTTAAATGGTACAAAGTTAGATTGTGCTTGATGTTCACCACTTACTTTAGTTAACTCCTGTACAATGTTGAACACTTTTTTCAAAGTTAGATTGTGCTTGTAGAGGAATTGGATAATGGATAATGGGTTCACCAATTGCAAGACTGCTTTGTTCATTCCACAATTCACTCTGGAATTGTTCTAAAATTCTTATAACCTTCCTTGTTTCTCTTTCTAAAATTATGTTTCATTGTTGTAGGTTGTTGACGGCAGATGCCATAAACCATATAAGTTATAAGGTGAGAAAAAGAGTTCTTTGATGACCAGGAAGAGTGTACAGAGACATTGTAGTATGACAGCCATCATCATTCAGTGTTTTAGATTTAGGCTTACCTATGAGTTATTGCTAGGCTTATTGACTTAACCTTTGGTTTTTGTTGGTGTTGGTGCTTCATGAGTTTGCTATCTTTTTAAGAAGGCCACAAAAAATGCACCTTGCATATTTGTTGATGAAATTATTGTTGCACAACAAAGAGGACCTGGAATTTTTTTGTTTCGCCATCTCTTTTGCAAGGTTCATTTTTTTTTCATGAAGATTGGACCTAGATATTTTGCTTCTGGAAAAAATACTTTTACTTATATTATACATTGAAGAGAGAACATTATATATATTGTGTTTTGCCTAGCATTTCCCGCATAAGGTGGACTATTATAGTTTTTGTATTGCTACTGTATAACCTCATATTGCCTTAGTATTGCTACTATATAAGCTCCTATTGCGTTCTTATTGCCACTGATTAATTGGTTTTTGTTATTTTTTGCATTAATTTGTTTGAGAGTCCTCCTATTTGCACAATACATAGGCAATACAAGCCATATATAGGGGCAATACCTACGCAATATAAGCCATATATAGAGGCAATATAAAGGCATTACAAGCCACAAGAGTTTATATTCATTTTTTGAGAAAAAAATGACACAAGCTATAAATTGGCAATAAACATACAATGCAATGACAATAAAAGGCAATAAATGGTTATAGACAAATAATAAACAAGCATATATAGACAATATACAAGCAATATACATGCAATATACACCAAATGTATATAACGTGTTTTTTTATAAAAGGATGTGACGTCCTTGATGAAATCACATTCTTACACCCATAATTTCCCAATTTCCCTACTACGGAAGCAATATAGTGGTAATACACGAGCAATAATATGGTAGCAACACACAAACTTCATACTCCCCTTATAAATTTATTACAACATACTTGAAAAAAAAAGAAAAAAGGGAAGAGGATATAAGAGGGCAATACACAAGCTACAAAGGGCTATACATGTGCAATACAGATCTGTCATGGCATTTGCCAATTAAATCACTAATTTGGTTACATTTGTATTTTTTTCTTCTTTGTCAAGGCAAACGATAAAACCATGGAAATTAGAGATTGACAAATTTCCTTCTAACTTGACTTTCATAAATTGATGAACTAACAATGTTATCTCATTACATCTTAAGATATACATAAGAAAGTGGCAAAAAATACAAAATTTACACCTCCTCTTGGTCGGAAATTTTAACACAATTTATATCTATCAGCAAAATTCTAAGACATGTCCTTTTAGACCCTAATTTAAGATGAAAGTTAGCAATTTCCTCCCCAAAAGAACGCCGCCACTTGAAACAAAACAATCTTCCGTCTGTATAAAATGGATAAAAAATGCATATTATAAGTAAATCATTCGATTACAATGGAAACAAAAACATAACATGTAATCACAATTGAATTTCAAAACAGAAACCAATACCAAAATTCATATAGATTGTTGGCTTTTCTAAATGACCCAATTCTTCATATGGAAAGCTTTCATAAGACAGTACTATTGCAAAATTAAAGTTCACATTCATGCAAACAATTTCATACTACTTAGTTGCAATATAAAAGTAACTATAAACATGGGTGAAGTGAATGTGTATCCTGGCAAGCGAGTAAAAATACAAATCAGAAAATCAAGAAATCATCAATACTGCATTTGGCATTGTTCAAATAGTTGAAGAAGCACAATCTCAGAGAAGAAGAACAGCAAGACAATGGAACTAGATAAATGCAAGAGCTGTCAACAAACCTTCAAGTTTTTCAAGAACCCTTTTTATGGCACCAACACAACCTTGGCATGATACCAACCTTGAGGATTGTAGACCGCGCCAAAAACAGATCCATGATTGAATTACGAAAAAAAATAGAGAAAACAAAGATCCAACACATGCCAACTTTATAGTATCAAACGTATGTTAAAATATTGGCATTCTCATAAAACTCACAAACTCTCCAATCACTTTCAAAAGAAGTAAAGGATGAGAATCTTGCATTTGTTGGTGGTGCTACTGATTTTAAATTATGATGTTGGTTTCTTATAGTTAAAACCCACATTACTGTTATTTCAGAGAGCATCTATGAGTTTTATATGTATTCTTACAGGTTGCTCAGAAAAGTCAAGTCATAATTTGATATATCACCTAAGTGCTTTCACAGACAAATCACAATCACAAAAGAGTGAATACACCACTTTCAAGGAGGTCTGCAAGTCCAAGTCTCAATCACAAACCAGTATATGCATGATTTTAGAGACAAATCATAAGTACAAACAATGTATCCAAGTCCAAGAGCTTGACAACCATAGGAAATAGTGGGTAAATTTCATTCAATCACAGAAACAGCAAACAAATCACAACAGAAACCCATTAATGTCTCATTCAAAATAATGAAAGTAATCACCCAATCTCAATCAATAACAGAAACCCAAAAAAAAAGTAAAACCAATATTAGAACTCACCACAGTGAAGATCGAAGATGAATGTGTTGTGGGTTTGTGGTGGAAGTTGATGACGAAGGTGGAGAGTCACGATTATGGCTTCGTTATGGAGACCGGCGACGGAGGTGGCGAGTCACGCCTTGGCTAGGGTTCGATTCTAAATTTGGGGTTCAACCTTAAGGTTCAAATTAGCTCATAGTTTGAAGATATAACTAAGAGAAAATTGAATTAAGCGAGATTCTACAGTGGAGGTGGATTCCTGTAAGGTTTGGCAGAAGGAAGAAGAGGAAGAGACTAGATAGAAAAGGAAGAAGAAGAGCAAAAGAAAAAAAAAAAAAAAAAAAAAAAAAAAAAAAATGGGCAAATGGACAATAGTCAATAGGGGAGTTTTTATAGGGGGTATTTGGTGATTAGATTTCAAAATGGGGATATTATTGAATAAATTAGTTGCGCCAAGGGCAAAGCCGCTAATTTCCCCTTAATATTTTGGCTTCGAGCCATTGAAGGGGCTGGCGTTGTGGCTTTCCAGTAAAACTATTACTGACGAAAGCCTTTGCCAGTATTATTTAGTGGTGACAAATAACTATACTTAACTAGTAATGGGTCCTAGTACTGGCTAAACTGCTCCTTCACCGGTAATAGGTTGTCGGTATAAGCTAAAATTGTAGTAGTGCTGCTATGACGTTGCTCAAATATATATATATATATATTAATAAGTAAATGTGACAATTAAACAAGAGTTTTCTTGGTGGATCTTGGAGCTCCCATGCCAATTTATGCAGTTTCTCCATCAAAGCCAGAATCTTCAACATCCAAATATTTGGAGAACTCATCATGCTGCCGACATCCAAATATTTGGAGTTCACATACAACTCAACGTTAGTATGAGTCTCAACCAAGTCAGAAGCTCCAAGTGCACAACATCTTACCAAATGTCAGATCAAGTGCAAAGCTCAGACTACGAAGCTAAGTTCAGAAGTTCCAGCAGAAGCCTCCTTGCAAGTGGTGGAATTCAAAGATATCCATTTTATCGCCCTCACATTTCTGTCATTTTGTTTCTTGCTTTTACATTCATTGCACTTATCACCAAAATTCTAAAAATAGTCATACAAAGCTCAATCATTCTTGACCCCGAGGAAGTGAAAGAACTTAGGCTAAGAGGAGATTCCTTGCTTGGCCAATCAATCATTTGATTAGAAGTTAGAAGCTCAAACACACTCGCACAGTTTTTCTATTCAAGCCATTAAGTGACTTAGTGGTGGCACTCTTACGCATTTCAAGATAAGAAGGACCAAAAAAATCCTCCCTTTGGCCTACTTGGCCAAAAAGAGGGAAACACGTCGACTTCAATTTATGTCATCTATTAGAAGTATTCGTCGCCTTTAATCCTGATTTGAAACCAAATTAAATCAAAGATTCAAAGTTATCCATACAGAAATTCAGAAGTTGTTGCAAGAGGAGAAGTGCAAATTCTATAGCACCTTATCAACGGTGGACCCCATAGATTTGAATTGTTGAAATAATATTGTGGTGGACCGCGTAAGTTTTCAATTAAAATCGATGACAGATAATAATCAATGTACAGTTGTGATGAATCAGTAGTGGAAAGTGTGGGATCAACACTACTAAGGTCTTCCCTTGTTTCTCTTTCTGAAATTACTGTGAAGCAGAGGTTTTGAGCCTGACCCTTGATAATTCCACGTTTCCTGGCCAAAAAAACAAACTTCATTTTCTCAATAGACGCGCTTTAGTGGCATCAAAATTTCCATTGACTGACACTTCTATCAAATAACAGAAAAGTCTTATAAACATAAAGAAAGTCTTATAAACAGAAAAGTCCTATAATAAGTCTTATAAATTTATCCTTCTGTAGGTTTTCTTTTATTGGACTTGGGGCTTGTTAAGTAGCCAAAAAATTGTATTATTAAATCTATCACAATGTCAAAGTCTTCTATGTCCCATTCATTGAATATTTCGAAGTCTTCTATGCCCCAAAAAACACGACTCATTCCTTAATCACGACCTGTGAATTTCCTAGTTGTAATCCTGTGCTTCCCTTTTTCTATTTTTAAACTTGTAAGGGTTTGTCACTTACCCTGAGCCTTCCCAGCAAATATGCAATCCCTACTGCTTCAGTCTGTGGTTCCTTTGCTTTTGATCACTTACTTTCTTTCAATCAACGTTGAGTTGAGTCTAAGCCAGGATGATCTACAATATGCAAACTGCAGCGAAGCTATTAACTGCGGTGGCATCGGAGACATCTCATACCCCTTTTGGGGAGTAAACCGGGCTAATTACTTTAATCTATTTTATCGCCTTTACATTTTTGTCATTTCTTTTCTTGCTTTTACATTTCAAAATTCTAAAAATAGTCCTACAAAGCTCAATCATCCTTTACCCCGAAGAAGTGAAAGAACCTAGGCTAAGAGGAGGTTACTTACTTGGCCGATCAATTATTTGATTAGAAGTCAGAAGTGCAAACACACTCGCACAATCTTTCCATACAAGCCATCAAGTAACTTAGTGGTGGCACGTCTACGCTTCTCAAGAGAATGACAAAAAAATAATTCATTTGGCCTACTTGGCCAAAAATAGGGAAACAAGTATACTTCAATTTATATCTTCTATTGGAAGTATTCGTCTCCTTTAATCCTGATTTGAAACCAAATTAAATCAAATATTCAAAGTTACCCATACAGAAATTCAGAAATTGCAAGAGGAAAAGGGCAAATTTTATAACAATTTAGCAGTGTGGACCCCATAAATTTGAATGGTTGAAGTAATATTTGTAGTGGACCCATAAGTTTTCAATTAGAATTGGTGATAGATAATAATCAATGTACAGTAGTGATGAATCAGTAGCGGAAAGTGTGGGCTTCAACATTATTGAGGTCTTCCCTTGTTTCTCTTTTTGAAATTAATGTGAAGTAGAGATTTCGAGGCTGTTCTTGATAATTCCACGTTTACTGGCAAAAAAAAAACTTCATTTTCTAAATAGACGTGTTTTAGTGGTCATCAAAATTTCCATTGATTGGCACTTTTATCAAACAACAGATAAGTCTTATAAACACCGCCTATGTCACCTTAAAAAAATTTTTTTTAAAAAAAGTCATCTTAATTTTTCAAAATTCATAATTTGTCATTTGACTTTAAAACCATTTAATTTTCCATATATTGTTAAGGATATTTTAGTTTTTCTATTTTCAAGAGTATATTAAAAATGAAAAAATCATTATAAAAAATACAAATTTATAAATAAACCCAATCCTAAACATGTATTTATAAAAAAACCCAAGCACTATTTAAACATAGAAACACACCCAAAATCAACCCCAAAATCAACAATTGTATATTTTTTGGGTGTGTTTATAAATGGGTTTTGAGTGTGTGTAATGATGGGTTTTGGGTGTGTTTATAAAGTGTTTTGGGTGTTGGGTTTTTTTATAATTTCAGCCCCCATTTTGGGTGTTTTAGTGAAACTCCCTATAAAAAATCCCAAAAAATTTATATATCTTTTAAAATTAAAATTGAAAAAAAAAAAACCATTAAAAATCAAGGTCTTTCCGACCAACCATTAAAAAATTTAAAAAATAAATAAATATATGATAATTCCATTTTTTTTGTCCATCACCCCTCCGCCGTCTCTCTATACCCTCCCTCTCCCTTCCTCCCCTCCCCTCTGTTTTTTTGGAATTTTGTGAGTTTGTGTTTTTTATTTTGCAAATTCTTCTCTTATCGTTGTTTCAATTTCTTAAGTTTCTGACTTCAAAATAAATGGTTCAGTAAATTAAGGATTTAGAATTTGGATTATTGATCTGTGGCAGGGAGAGCACTCTTTGTTATTCGCTTAGGTACTTTGGCAGGCAGTCATCAAAAAGAGTGAGCCTGTGGGCGCTGGGGCTTGGGCTGTGGGTGGGGATGGGTGGTCAGGTCGTGGGTGAGAAAAAAAAAAGAGGCGGGGTGGGGTTGGAAAGGAATGGAGAGAGGTCTCCTTTTTTTGCTTGAAAATGAAAAGACTAAAATACCGTTAATAATGGATGAAAAATTGAATGATGTTAAAGTTATGAAGCATGGATTTTGAAAAATTAAAATGATATTTCCATTAAGTTTTTCTTTAAGGTAACGAATTGAAAATGAAGTATAAGTTTATGTGACATTTCTACAAAAATGCCGGTAGAAAACTCACCTATAAGTCTTATAAATTTATCCTTCTATTGGTTTTCTTTTATTGGGCTTGGGCCTTGTTAAGTAGCCAAAAATTATATTATTATATCTATCATAATGCGAAAGTCTTCCATGTCCCATTCATTGAATATTTCAAAGTCTTCTATCCCCCATTCCTTAATCACGACCTGTGAATTTCCTAGTTGTAATCTTGTGCTTCCCTTTTTCTATTTTTAAACTTGTATTGGTTTGTCACTTACCCTCAGCCTTCCCAGCAAATATGCACACCCTTCTGCTTCAATCTTTGTTTCCCTTGCTCTTGATCACTTCCTTTCCTTCGATCAACGATGAGTTAAGTCTAAGCCGGGGCAATGAACAATATACAAACTGCGGCGAAGATATTAACTGCGGTGGCATCAGCCTTTCATACCCGTTTTGGGGAGTAAACCGAGCTAATTACTGTGGTCCGCCTGGGTTCAAGGTGGAATGCCTATCGAGAATGTCCCCATGATCAATATATCAAGTATCAACTACAGAATTCTCAATACCACAGATAGTGCTCCCTCTGTTACAGTTGCCAGGCAGGACTATTGGGGAACTCTGTCTTCCGAGTTATGTCAACACCAACATCAACTTCTCTCTGTTTGATTATACTTCTATGGGTGTGCAAGTACAAATATCCCGGGGCTTAACTCTAGTTGCCAAACTTGCGATACAAACAACGACAATGTTACGTATGCCATGCGAAGTCCCCCATCTGATCCAGTTGCTAACAGCATCTGTAAAAATGGTGTCAATGTTCCGGTTTTTACAACAGTGGTTGCTGCTCTAGAGGCCAATGAAACGACTATCGAAGCAGTAAATGAAGGCTTTGAATTGGGATTGGAGATTGATAATGGTCCATGCAACAGTTGTGAGGACTCAGGAGGGAATTGTGGGCTTAACACTACTGGTGGATTCAGTTGCTTTTGCCTGGATCAGGCCTATGAAACCGTATGTAATGCTACTGCACCCGGAGCACAAGGTATGTCTATCCCTTGTCACTCTTATAAATTACAGAATTGAATTCCAGGCATCAACAGTTTTTTATTACATCCTAGACAGCTACCTAGGTGTGTGTCATTAGGCTCGTCTGTGCAAAACCTGGGTCTGAAATCGGGAATTGTGTCCAGAAACAAAAGGCAGAAACTACTGAACTTCACATATTTTGCTACGAATTTCAGAAATTGAACATTTTGGATAGAAAATTTTGTAAACCAATTGAACTTTATGGTGCCAGTCAACACTTTTTGTGGCTCTCACTTGACTTCAAAATCCGATTCCTATTGAAGAGGGCTTGAGGCACAGTTGCTGGCAGGACTCTTGGGAAATTGTCTGTCCTCCAACTTCAGTTAACACCAACATCAACTGATCTCTGCTAAATTATACTTGTGGGCCTTTTTTTGATGGCCTTGATGAAGAGTAAAGGGTCTGTGAAGCAGAGGTTTGGGTGCATAATTGAAACTTCTTGATAATTCCATGTTTCCTGGAAGAAAAAAAACCTGCATTTTCTATAAAGACTTTTAAGGGGCTTTATCCAAACCGTATTTATAAAGACTTTTTTAAGTTAGTGACTTGACATATTCTTAAACACTTTCATAGACTTTTGTTATAAATAAATAATTAATTGGGAAGATGACTTGACACTTTCTTAAACTCCTTGTTACTCCCTTATAAAAAAATAATATTAATTAATTAATTAATTGGGAAGATGACTTTGAAATTTTTTAAGTCATTTAATTCCAGCATTGGTAGCTCTACGTTTTTCTATTATGCATCCTACCTGCTGGGGTCTTTGTTCAAGTGGATAATTCCATGTTTTCTAGCAAAAGAAAAAACTTCATTTTCTTCAAAGACGTGTTTTTGTGGTTACCAAAATTTTCATTGACCTAAGTCTTATTCTTGAAGTATTGAACATAAAAAAACTAATAAGTGACAAAAAATTGACTCGATTGAGGAAAATTAGTGACACAATGACCAAATTTAAGGCAAATAAGCAGTGACAAAAAGGTAGTTTTTGTTGATGTAATCTACCAAATATCTTTGTTGCAATTGAGATAGTCTTTTTTTAAAAATTGATCATTCATTTGTCGATTAACACATTTCTCTATCTTCTGGCAGTTTTAGGAAAAAGAAGGAAATTACAATAGGTAATATTTCACTTCTTTAAAACAGTAATTATACTATCTAGTGGTTTTAGAACTTAAATGACTATTGTTTACACCATAATCAACCGAGCATATCCAGCCTCAAAACAACTAGCATCAAGGCAGACACGCCTTCTCCTCTGCCGAAGGAAGACACTCTTCCGAGGTGCCAAGCACTTGCCGAAGCTCCCGATTGTTGAAGGTCCCAAATGCCAAACATAATGTCTATGACACGTGTCACCACCACGGCGACTTACACAAAGTCCCACATTGAAAATCTACACAAACCTCCCACTTTCACTTCCCTATAAATAGGGAATAGTACCATAGTAAAAAATGTAACTACTTTCTTACATTTTACTGTTACTCTGCTAAAGTTACTACTCTTAGTTAACTTAAGTATTGGAGAGCCTTCGGTCGGCACTACACCGGTGTTTGAAGCATAACGATTGCTTCTCCTACTTTGTCTTCTGCAGGCTCAACCCTTACAGAAGGTCCTCACCTTCTCCATTGCTGAAGGCAAACCCCTTTTTCCCAAAGTTGACCCTCTCCGAAAAAGAGCATTAACAGTTTGACACCGTCTGTGGGAAACGATACTTGAATCCCATTTTTCTCTACCAGCCCAGTTGGCTCCTTCTCCTATCTGACCCCATCGCCTCTTCTTCACTCCATATTCTGCTATGCCGACTGAGGATAGCCATGATACTCAGCACCATACCCCCCGCGAGGGTACCTCCCGAAGGAAACCTTCAGTAGATGCTAATCTTCAGGCAGAGCTGGAGAGCTTCCGCGCCAGTGTCACCAAGATGTTCGAGAAATATGACCATCTTCATGCCAAAAACGTTGAGCTCGAGCATGACTACCACACGCTGAAGCATAAGTGGGAGATGAATCAGGCCTAGGGCTCCCAACGTGGCCTTACCCAGGAACCTGAGCTTACCCAGCCAAACCAGCCAGTGCCCTCTCACCACAGTGCCCCAATCCAGCCTAGGCCCAGCAAAAAATGGTCTTATTTGTCAAGAAAGATAAGAGGGATGAGTTTGATGTTGAGGCATTTATAAGGAACTATGGATCGCTTACTCCAAAGCGGTATACCTATGCAAATGTCAAGAAAATGACAGACTCTTTCAGAGACAAACTAGGTAAAGGTGGATATGGAACTGTGTACAAAGGCAGGCTACCTGATGGGCTTCTGGTGGCGGTCAAAGTCCTAAGTGAGTCCAAGGGTAATGGAGAAGACTTTGTTAATGAAGTTGCCAGCATTGGTAGAACCTCCCATGTCAACATAGTCACTCTTTCTGGATTCTGTTATGAGGAGGACAAACGAGCTTTGATGTATGAATACATGCCTAATGGATCTCTGGATAATTTCATACATAAGTACATATCTGGAATGGCAAATTTTCTCTTAGAATGGAAAACACTATCTGAAATTGCAGTTGGTATTGCGCGAGGACTAGAATACCTACACCGTGGATGTAACACAAGTTGGAGAGGAGGTTTCTTGCTTGGCAGATCAATCGTTTGATTAGAAGTCAGAAGTGCAAAAAAATTCGCACAATCTTTCCATCCAAGCCATCAAGTGGCTTGGTGGTGGCACACCTACGCATCTCAAGAGAAGAATGACCAAAAAATCATTCCTTTGGCCTACTTGGCCAAAAAGAGGGAAACACGTAGACTTCAAGTTATGTCCTCTATTGGAAGTATTCGTGTCCTTTAATCCTGATTTGAAACCAAATTAAATAAAAAATTCAAAGTTATCCATACAGAAATTCAGAAATTGCAAGAGGAGAAGTGCAAATTCTATAACTCCTTAGCAGTGTGGACCCATAAATTTGAATTTTTGAAGTAATAATTGTAGTGGACCCCATAAATTTTCAATTAGATAACAATCAATGTACAGTTGTGATGAATCAGTGGTGGAAAGTGTGGGCTTAACATTGCTGGGGCCTTCCCTTCTTTCTCTTTTTGAAATTAGTGTAAAGCAGAGGTTTCGAGCCTGACCCTTGACAATTCCATGTTTCCTGGCCGAAAAAACAAACTTCATTTTCTGAAAAGACACGCCTTAGTGGCATCAAAATTTCCATTAACAACAGACTATTATGACCTGTGAATCACGACCTGTTTGGAGGTTTCGAATTCTTCTATGCCCCAAAAAACACGACTCATTCCTTAATCACGACCTGTCAATTTCCTAGTTGTATTCCTGTGCTTCCCTTTTTCTATTTTCAAACTTGTATTGGTTTGTCACTTACCCTGAGCCTTCCCAGAAAATATGCATACCCTTCTGCTTCAATCGTTGTTTCCCTTGCTCTTGATCACTTCCTTTCTTTCGATCAACGTTGAGTTAAGTCTATGCCAGGACAACGAACAATATACAAACTGCAGCGAAGCTATTAACTGCGGTGGCATCGGAGGCATCTCATACCCCTTTTGGGGAGTAAACCGGGCTAATTACTGTGGTCTGCCGGGGTTCGAGGTCAAATGCCTAGAGAATGCCCCCATGATCAACATGTCGAATATCAACTACAGAATTCTTAAAACGGACTCTAGTGCTCCCTCTGTTACAGTTGCTAGGCAGGACTATTGGGGAACTATCTGTCCTCAGACTTACGTCAACACCAGCATCAACTTCTCTCTGTTTAATTATCCTTCTGGGCTTACAAACCTGACCTTTTACTACGCGTGCAATTCAACTGTCCCGGGGCTGGAGGTTAACTTTACTTCCCAAGTTTGCAGTACGAACAACGGTGACATTGCTGTTTGGTCTTTCACCCGGAGTCTCCCAGTTGATGTAGCTGCTCTTGCTACCCGCGCCTGTACAGCTGGGGTCAGTGTTCCGGTTTTTACTACAGCTGCTCTGGCTCTAGAGGCCAATCGAACAACTATCCAGGAAGTCGTAGATGAGGGCTTTGAATTGGGATTGGAGATTGATAATGTTGAATGCAACAGTTGTGTGGAATCAGGAGGGAAGTGTGGGCATAACGCTACTGGTGGATTCAGTTGCTTTTGCCTGGATCAGGCCTATGCAGCCGAATGTAATGCAACTGCACCCAGAGCACAAGGTACGTCTGTCCCTTGTCATTCTCTTATAAATTACAGAATTGAATTCCAGGATTGGTGGCATCCGCAGTTTTTTATTACATCCTAAACAGCTACCTAGGTGTGTGTCATTAGGCTCGTCTGTTAAAAACCTGGGTCGGGAATCGGGAATTGTGTGCAGAAACAAAAAACAGAAACTACTGAACTTGACGTATACAAGAAAAGAGATCATGTTGCTACGAATTTCAGAAATTGAACATTTTGGATAGAAAATTTTGTAAAACTTTTAAACCCTTAAGAGTGTTCATGTTTTGATCATTTTGATCCTTTGGCACATGCATCGAATTGGAAATCTTGATGGTGCCAGTGAACACTTTTTGTGGCTCTCACTTGACTTCAAAATCCGGATTCCTATTGAAGAGGGCTTGAGGTACAGTTGCTGGCAGGACTGGAAATTGTCTGTCCTCCAACTTCAGTTAACACCAACATCAACTGCACTCTGCTAAATTATACTTGTGGGCCTTTTTATAATGGCCTTGATGAAGAGTAAAAGGTCTGTAAAGCAGAGGTTTGGGTGCATAATTGAAACTTCTTGATAATTCCATGTTTCCCGGAAAAAAAAACCTGCATTTTCTGTAAAGACTTTAAGAGGCTGTATCCAATCCGTACTTATAAGGACTTTTTTAAATTAGTGACTTCACATATTCTTAAACACTTTCATAGACTTTTGTTATAAATAATTAGCCTTATAAAAGTATACAAAACTCATTAATTTAATTTAAAAGTTATTAACTTCATGTATGCATGCTCCTTGTTACTCTTTTATTAAAAAAAAATCAAAAAAATCAAAAAATTAATTGGGAAGATGACTTTGAAAATTTTTAAGTCCTTTAATTCCAGCATTGGTAGCTCTGCATTTTCTTATTACGCATCCTACCTACTGAGGTCTTTGATAAACTTCATTTTCTTCAGAGACGCGTTTTTGTGGTTACCAAAATTTCATTGACCTAAGTCTTTTTCTTGAAGTATTGAGCATAAAAAAACTAACCAGTGACAAATAATTGACTCGATTGAGTAAAATTAGCAACACAATGACCAAATTTAAGGCAAATAATCAGTGACGAAAAAGGTAGTTTTTGTTGATGTAATCTCCCAAATATCTTTGTTGCAATTGAGGTAGTCTTTTTTTAACAATTGATTAACATTTCTCTATCTTATGGCTGTTTCAGGAAAAAAGAAGGATATCGCAATGGGTAATATTTCACTTCTTTAAAACAGTATTTATACTAGTAACTGCTTCGTTACTTGTTTTCGTTGTAGTTCTTGATTGACTGTTAAAATGGTAGCCCTCCAAAGTGGTTTTAGAACTTAAATGACTGTTTAAAATGACTAGGAGCTTAACTAATAACTACATAAAATAAAATTCCAACAAATCAAGTATTTTGTTGCAGGTTTGGCTACTGGATTTTACGTGATGGTAATCATTCTTTGTAGTATATGCATATGGTGGAAGCGAAATGTCCGAAAATCGCTCCCGCACATATCAAGCGAAAGAATGGTCTCATTCGTCCAGAAAGATAAGAGGGATGAGTTTGATGTTGAGGCATTTATAAGGAACTATGGATCGCTTACTCCAAAGCGGTATACCTATGAAAATGTCAAGAAAATGACAGACTCTTTCAGAGACAAAATAGGTAAAGGTGGATATGGAACTGTGTACAAAGGCAGGCTACCTGATGGGCTTCTGGTGGCGGTCAAAGTCCTAAGCGAGTCCAACGGTAATGGAGGAGAAGATTTTATTAATGAAGTTGCTAGCATTGGTAGAACCTCCCATGTCAACATAGTCACTCTTTCTGGATTCTGTTATGAGGGGGACAATCGAGCTTTGATTTATGAATACATGCCTAATGGATCTCTGGATAAATTCATACATAAGCACGGATCTGGAATGGCAAATTTTCGCTTAGAATGGAAAACACTATCTGAAATTGCAGTTGGTATTGCGCGAGGACTAGAATACCTACACCGTGGATGTAACACAAGAATTTTGCATTTTGACATAAAACCACAGAACATTCTTCTCGACAAAGATTTTCGCCCAAAAATCTCTGATTTTGGCCTTGCCAAATTATGTAAAACGAAGGACAGTATTGTATCGATGAATGGGGCAAGAGGAACTGCAGGATACATTGCACCAGAAGTGTTTAGCCGGAACTTTGGTGGAGTATCTCACAAATCTGATGTTTACAGCTACGGTATGTTGGTTCTTGAAATGGTTGGAGCAAAAAATAATTTGGATTTGGGAGTGTCTCATACGGGTGAAATATTTCCACATCATGTTTATAAAGATCTAGAGCTAGAAAGGATGAAAATGCATTTGGGGCAATCACAGAGGAGGAAAAAGAAATAGCAAGAAAGATGGTATTAATAAGTCTGTGGTGCATTCAGACCATTCCTTCTGATCGGCCATCAATGAGCAAAGTTGTAGAGATGTTGGAAGGACCCCTTCATTCCTTGCGAATTGCACCCAAACCTTTCTTGTTTTCTCCTACAATAGCTGCAGAAGACTGTATGACTACAACCAGTGGCGGATCCACCATGAGGTCAATAGCTGCAGAGGATTGTATGACTACAACCAGTGGCGGATCCACCATGGGGTCAATGGTGTCAGACGGCCCCATGGCAGCCCTGGAAATGGCTTTGAGGTCCCATGTTGGCCTTGGCAGCCATGGGAGACGACCCCATGGAGAAGAAGACATGCAAGCTGTGAGGGAGAAGATAGAGGGAGGAAGAAAAGGGAAAGAGAGGGAGGAAGAAGAAGAAGACAATGACTGAGAGGGAGAAGAAAGAGAGAAGAAGAAGGGAGAGAGAGAGGGAGGAAGAAGAAGAAGACAGTTATTGAGAGGGAGAAGAAAGAAGGCACTGCGCAAACACAAATAATAATAAAAAGGAAGAAATCTGTTAGGTTGTTTTAAAATATTGTTATAATTATGTTGGGTAGGCCTCTGAATTGAAAAGAATCTTTTGGTCTGTAAAAAAGTTGGTTTGGATAAAATGAAACAGTTATCATTATCTGAAAACTGAGAGTGAAAAAACTGTTTTCATGATTTCTCTGTTTTCAGCAACTGCTACAGTACTTTGGTGTTTGAGTAATATAGAATCTCTGATTAACGAAGATGGCCTTTGTGATTCATTCTTCTTATTCATTCGCTTCGAAGAGTATCACGAACCACAGTTAGTACCAAGTTTTTCTTTTCAGCTGAACCAACAAACAACTGACATTATAGTCACGTCTCACTCATTAGGCGTCAATATGCCCATTGAAGTAACCTATTATGGCCAGACAATCTGCACACGCACATATATATAAATTGGAACAACTAAACTATACTGTGAATGAAAGACTTCAATCTCATTCGTTGAATATATCAAGGGCTTCAAGACTTGGCATTACAATATGTTGAGATTTCAATCAGAACTTGCACACACAATGCATCAGCTCGCACAAAACCAGATGAAATTGAAGAAAATAGAAAAATGCAGAGAAAGAATGGCTACACAATAATGCTCAAAGGTTCGTTGCTATGCACAAAACATGGCAGTGCATAGTGCTCTCATTTCAAACGGAACATTCCTTTTACAATGCTGAGAATGTGATCTCAGCCTTACAATTGATCCAGCAATGTAAGCTGGACACTTGTCTTAAATCTGAGTCATATAAGTTTCATCCAACCAAAATATTACATATGTAAAATAAAACTTAAACCAGCAGGAATTTATAATTCAACACAATATTGATAGAGAAAAAACAAATATACGTAGAACAATACCTTTATCGGGATTGTTGGTAATTTTTAACAACAATATTAAAACCTTGCAAGTGCACAAATCAAATGATAGTATAGTAAGCAAGCAAGGGTCGATCCCACATAGATTGTGATCTAAAGAGATGTTTATCAATGTCACACAATGAAAACTTACACAATTAAACACAAAAACAAAATAAAGATTGAAACCACAATGACTTCCACACACACGCCAACACCAAGGGGGTTTTGATTTGATTTTGTAAATAAAACAAAACACGGGAAAGAAAACAAAACAGAATTTAAATTAGAGTTTAAGAGAAATTAGTTTAAAATCAGTCAAGAACAATAGCTAGGACTCACTATCCACCTCCAAACAATCAATCAATACATAAACAACAATAGATAATCAATTTCTAGCAAGCATATGATGACGACACTCACAACAAGATCATGGCATTTCACTCGAGTTGTATGATTCCCTCTTAAGTGTATGTAAAGTGTATGAAATTTACATCAATACTTGTATTCTTAATTGAAATCTAGTATGACATTTACTCAAATTAACAATCAAGAATCCATTAAGATCAAAGAGAATATGAGTGTCACAAAAACCCTAAAACATGGCATTTGTTATTAGGAATTCAAGAATCGATTTCTCATAACTAGTTCTTAACCCAATTATTAGTTGCAAACAAGAACACATTCAATATGGCAATTGACCTATGTTCTTCAATAATTTAATACCAATACATGCTTCCAAGTTAGCTACTCAAAGAAACAAAATATTAGAATTCACATAACATAGAGAAATTGAAATCATCATGCTTACAGAAACTGAAAATCCATTCAAACTTGTTTATAAAATTGAAATCATGTTTAGGGCTTCAAGATTAAGCCCTAACTAACAAGAAATCAGTTACTCATGTTCTTGGTTGAACTCAAAAATAAATACATAAGAACTGAAAATTAAAATAAGGAAGGAAAAGAAAGAACTTGTTGGCAGCTTTCTCCTCTTGTGCAGTTAATCTCCTTAGGACGTGAATTCTTCGTAGGGGGCCTTGGATGGCCTTTTATATCACTTATGTCAGAGTTCTAAGCCCTAAGATTGACTGAAAAGTCGTCCAAGAAGTCTTGGTAAACAAGGAATCCAAATAGGAAAGTAAAATCACAATTCCTAACTCCATAAGGAAATACAGCTCAGCCCAATTTTTACATGATTTGGGGATCTTTGGCCTTCTATAAAAATTATTAAAAATATATTTTAGAAATATAAATGTCTTATCTTTCCAACCATATATAGCATGTAACTTAGAAAATTCGGGAAGGCTTCCGTTTCTTCACATTCATGTAATATGTACGAAATTGTCCTGTTTGCACGTGGGCTAACTTTACTTGTAATACTGTACCATAATCAACCGAGCATATCCAGTCTCAAAACAACTAGCACCAAGGCAGACACGCCTTCTCTCCTGCCGAAGGAAGATACTCTTCCGAGGTGCCAAGCACCTGCCGAAACTCCCGACTGCCAAAGCTCACAAACTGTTAAACCTAATTCTCATGACACGTGTCACCACCGCGGCGACTTGCACAGAGTCCCACATCGGAAATCTACACCAACCTCCCACTTTCACTTCTCTATAAAAAGGGAACAGTACCCTAGTAAGAGGGGTAACTACTTTTCTGCCTTTTACTATTACTCTGCAAAAGTTACCCTTCTTAGCTGACTTAAGCATCGGAGAGCCTTCGGCCGGCACCACACCGGTGCCCGGAGCTTGACGACTGCTTCCCCTATTTTTGTCTTCTGCAGGCTAGCCTTTATTGAAGGCCCAGACCCTTTCCCTGCTGAAGGCAAATCCCTTTTTCTCTAAGTTGACCCTCTCCGAAAAAGAGCATCAACAATTTGGCGCCGTTTGTGGGAATCGATACTTGAATCCCATTTTTCTCTACCAGCCCAGCTGGCTCCTTCTCCTATCCGGCCCCGTCGCCCCTTCTTCACTCCACACTCAGCTATGCCTACTGAGGATAGCCAGGGGACTCAGCACCATATCCCCCATGGGGGTACCTCCCAGAGAAGACCTTCAGCAGATGCCAATCTCCAGGCAGAACTGGAGAGCCTCCGCGCCAGTGTCACCAGGATGTCTGAGAAATATGACCATCTTCATGCTAAGAACGTCGAGCTCGAGCATGACTACCGCACACTGAAGCGTAACTGGGAGATGAATCAGACCCAAGGCTCCCAACGCAGCCCTACCCAGGTACCTGAGCGTACACAGCCAAACCAGCCGGAGCACTCCCACCACAATGTCCCAACCCAGCCTAGGCCCAGCAAGGGTAAAGGCCCCCTCTATCCAGAAACGACCAAGTCGCGGCTTCTCCGCATCTCCCCACCAAGGAACCGGCCTCATGAACCAACAAAGGTCTACAGGGATTGCAGGGACCGTATCCTGGACCGTCAAACGGAACCCCCTCTTATCTCTGTTAATCTCCAAGACCCAAAGATGAAACACCTGGGCCCCCCGCCAAAGCCTACCCAACTACCCCTTGGAGAAGGTATAGGGGACTCAGAGAACTGGGGGCAGGGTTACTCAGAAGACTACGAGTCTTATCAAACCGAGGCGTTCGAAGAATTCTACCCAGCCCATGGCCACCCACACACCAGACCCCCAGCACCCGAGACACAAAAAACAGGCTGGGCCTCCATTACCTTCTGCGAATTTTTTTTTTTTTTTTTTTTTTTTTTTTTTTTTTTTTTTTTTTTTTTTTTTTTTTTTTTTTTTTTTTTTTTTTTTTTTTTTTTTTTTTTTTTTTTTTTTTTTTTTTTTTTTTTTTTTTTTTTTTTTTTTTTTTTTTTTTTTTTTTTTTTTTTTTTTTTTTTTTTTTTTTTTTTTTTTTTTTTTTTTTTTTTTTTTTTTTTTTTTTTTTTTTTTTTTTTTTTTTTTTTTTTTTTTTTTTTTTTTTTTTTTTTTTTTTTTTTTTTTTTTTTTTTTTTTTTTTTTTTTTTTTTTTTTTTTTTTTTTTTTTTTTTTTTTTTTTTTTTTTTTTTTTTTTTTTTTTTTTTTTTTTTTTTTTTTTTTTTTTTTTTTTTTTTTTTTTTTTTTTTTTCCCCCACAAATTTGACACAAGTTTTGACACAATTTTATAGCCTTTAGATGCAAGCACTTTCAAGGGCTAAGATTAAATGTGATTTTATTATTTATTTATTTTATTTTGATAACATAACAAATAAAATAAAATATTAAACTCACCACTTTTCAAGGTAGCATAAATGTAGGCTAAAATCTCTCCATCTCCTCCAATCTCATTTATTCTCACGTTTTGAGTTTGAACTTTTTTTTATTTAATTGTTTTTCCTTTATCTGGAAACAAAGTTCTCATCTCAGTTGATCTCCAAACACACAAGGATCTATTTCAGATTTTTCCACTCCAACACTTCATGCAATTTTCGCGAAATATTATGGAGATTGTTTGAAAATCTTAATTGTTAATTGTGCTAAGAAGCTATGGATACTTTTTGCTGCAGTTAGATGCTAAACTGTTTGAGAATGAACTTGAACTTCTCATGGTAAAAGACATTAAGAAATCCACAAATGTAAGAGGAAAAAGAAATTCGAATTGAAAGTAATCCAAGGATTTAGAGACTCAAAGCTCAAGAAAATAACAAAAGAACCAACATACAAGACTGCAAGATAAACCTCTCCAAATTTTGCTGCAAGATAGAAAGAGACTGTAGTTGAACCAAACCCCAAACGAATAAAAAAAAAGATCAGAAAAAAAAATTTCATACTCAGAGAATTAGATCATACCATTTATTTATTTATTATATTGATTGAAATCTTAGGGGGAAAAAATTAATGGCTAACATGTGAAATATGGGAGGGAGAAGAGCTACTTCTTGTTTAGTGTTGGTAGTGATAGAGAAACTGTCAAGTGCAGAAGGAAGATTTGGAAGAAGAAGAAAAAACAGAAGTGAAGGCATAAAGAAGAAGATGACGTGAGAGAATATGTTAATGCTTTTAGGAAGTTGGGAAAACATAAATGAAGAGAGATAAAATATTATAGTAAGTTAATTAAAATTAATTTAAACAAATAATTATTTAAAGAAAAAGAATTAATTTGTATAATCTTAACCATTCATTGTAGCCTAATTTAATGGTTAAAAAATTGTGTCAAAACTTGTGTCAAATTTACGGTGCCACGGATCCGCCCCCATATATTATATATATATATATATTTCTAAATGATATGACTAGTATTTGCATGTTAAAATTGATCGAAAAACAATGGCAACTTCAATCAAATCAGTGCGCATGCATGTGTGATAATTTTACGTTCAATATGTAAGTGATAGAGCAAAAAGCCAATAACTTACCGGTAAGTTATAGCGTGAAAAGCCAATATTTAACCATCATGTAAGTGATGGAGTGAAAAGCCTATAACTTACCGGTAAGTTATGGCGTGAAAAGCCAATATTTAATCGTCAGGTAAATGATTGAGCGAAAAGCCTATAACTTACCGGTAAGTTATTGCGTGAAAAGCCGATATTTAATCGACATGTAAATGATGCAGTGAAAAGACTACAACTTTTTTTTTCCCTTGTTCTTTCAGTTTATTTTTCAAAAACAATGCCTTATAAATAGAGTTTTTTTTCCCGAGGAAATTAATGTTTTAGAATTTGTAAAGTTTCTTTTCTGGGTGACTGATTTAAATCAAATACGAATATAAAAACAACGACTGTTTTTTGTTATACCGTCGTTTTTTCTTGTCGTCTTAAGTAAGACTAAGACGACGTAATGTATTTGTTAACCGACGTGGATTATTTTTTTAAACGTCGTTATGTGTAATATAACCAACGTGGATTTGGTTTTTTAATTATAAATAGGGTTTTTTTCCACGGTTGCTTTCAGTTTTAGTTTTCGATTAGGGTTTCAACTTCTTCTTGCCCCTTTCTCTGTCTCACCTCATCTCTTAGGAGGCAATTGTTTGAATGTTGGTTGTTGTGTGATTCACAAACATACACACATCACCAATTTTCAAAAAATTGTCTCTCTGATTGCAAATCTGTGGCTGCCGTCGTGAAGTTTTAGGAGGCAATTGTTTGGATGTTGATGTGTGTGTGCGTTTGTGTAGATACACAAACGCACACACATCATCCACTTCCAAAAAATTGTCTCTCTGATTGCAAATCTGAGGCTGCCGTCATCAAATTTCAGAAGCAATTTTTTGGATGTTAATGTGTATGTGCGTTTGTGTATCTCAAAGACACAAATACACATACATCATTAACCTCTAAAATATTGTCTTTCTGGTAAGATTATGATGAGCAACAGAGTTCCATCTTGTAAGATTTCCTAACCCTTGTGATCTCAGAAAAATCTGATTATGTCGGCGGTTTTCTATATAAACCGTCGTGGTTATTTCAATTCTTGTCGTTAAGTAGATCTACCGACGTAGGATAACAAAATCCAAGAAATAAATTGTTAAAAAAAATTCTTATTCAGACGACAGTTTAAATATAATGTATGACGTATAAAGTTGACAAATACGACGTTAAATTGTATAATATGTCGTTAAATTAAAACCCCAACTTGGCAAGATTCAAAGATATCATCGTAGAAATACGAGAAAGACGTCGTTATATTTATCTTGGCCGTAGTTGTACATTAATTTAATACGGCGGTATTTTGTATTTTACCGCCATAGATTTATTTGTAATTATACGGCGCCTTATACGAAAACTTGGTCGTGTTAATTTCTGGGTAAAAACGGCGGCTTTTTTTGAAATCGTCCTCTTTACTTTCTACGTCGGTCGGTTCATAACTTCTGCCGTTATTTGTTGGCTATGATTTTACCCCTTGGAAATCCTATTTCAATAAGACGTCGGTTTTTTAATTAGGTACGTCGTGTTTTAGGAACAGCCATTTGAATCTCCATTTTTTAGTTGTCTAAGGTGTTATTACACGGCGGTTTTATAAAACCGTCGTCTTTTATAAAACAACGACGGTTTTCACTTAGACCGTCGTTTTTTTCTGGTCGTCTTTGTCACTTTTTGTAGTAGTGCAAATTCTTAACTATCACAAATACACAATAGAATTGGTGAAAAGAAATGTGAAGTCAAAATTATTAAAATTGAAGAATATAATTTGGAAATTAAAAGATAAAAACTAGAAATTAATTTTATGATGGTTTTCATCATTAACAGAATTTAACAAGACATCAATAAAATAATGAAGGCTAAAATACGTATAAGTACCCAATCTTTGGAGGTCGTTACAAAATCAAGTACCTAATCTTTTAAAATTTTCAAGTGCATACATGTACTCTTGGAAAACCTACAAATAAATCATGTCATTAGTCAAACTATTAATAGCTCCATTAAATGATGATGTGGTAACAGTGTGTCCCTTTTTTTTGCTGATGTAGATCCTAGGTAAACTAAAAAAATTGAAGAAAAAAAAAACTTGTTTAATTTTTAAATTAGTTAGAAAACTCAAAAATTAAGAAAAATCAACTTTAACACCCAAAAAAATCACCTCCATCGACACCCAACTCCACTTTCTTCATCCATCATCGATCCCAACTGCACCTTCTTCTTCCATCATCACCGCTCATGACCTCATCTCCAAGCCCACCCATTAATCCTGACATCATCCTCATCCCAAATCCATCATCAATCCTACCCCCACCTCGAAACTCAGCTGCACCGCCCAACCTCCCCCATCCCTAGAACCATCTAACCCCTTCATCCTCCAGTGAATCCACTGTCACCTTCATATCACCCAAAAAATCACCCCCATGCCTCACGCATGCCTCACTTTTTTTCTGGCGGGGAGGAAGGAAGAGATGGGAAGAAAGAGAAAAAGACAAGGAGAGAGAAAGAGACAGGGAGATAGTGGATTCGCAGGGGTTAGTGGGATGGTTCGAGGGTCGGTTGGGTTGATGACTGGTGTAGGGGAGGTTTGGGATTATGGGGCGTGGAGGAGGTTTCAATGGGGTTGGGTATAGTTGGGTTTGTATTTTCTTTTTGGGTTAATGACATTTTAATACCCTATGGTTACACCCATAATACATGTTAGTCTCTATGTTTTCAATTTTTACAATTACATACCCCGATCTTTTAAATTTGTTACAATGTGGTTCCACCGTTGGGGGTTCCGTCAGATCTCTCTGTTAGTTTCCTATGTGGCATTATGGTTTTTTTTTAAATTTTTAAATTTTAAATGATTAAAATATTTTTAAAAAAAATTAAAAATACATCTCTCTCTCTCTCTCTCTCTCTCTCTCTCCCTCTCCCCCCTGATTTCTTCCCTCCTTAGATTTCTTTTCCCCTATCCTGTTCTTTCCTCCACTCAGATTTCTTCTCCCCTTACCCAGATTTCTTCCCCTACACTGATTTCTTCCCCCATCTGGATTTCTTCTCCCTCCTCCTGATTTCTTCCCCTACCCAAATTTCTTTTCCTACCCAAATTTCTTCTCTGTTTTAAGAAATCAATGACAGTTTTATAATTTAAAAGAAGTTAAAAGCTTTTTGTTATATTGTAAATAGGCTTTGGGTGTGTTTCTAAAGTCCATTTCATATATGGTTTTTTTATTTTTCATGATTTTGATATGAATTTATAATTTATAATCTATACATATAAAGTAAAAGGCAGAGAATGGTCAAACATTCAAAATACCAAAAATGCCCTTAGTTAATCCAAATATTAAGAATTAAAATTATTAATTAAATGAGGATAATATGGTAAATTTACATTTTTTCATATTAAAAAATTAAAATTAAAAGAATAACCAAATAATGAATTCTATTTTTATGAAATACAACTATCTATTATCTTTTTTAATTCTAAAATAAATTTAGAATTTATTTTAAAAAAAAGCCTCTCGCAGGCGCGGAAGCGCATGCGGAGAGGCTATACTAAATAATTTATTAAAAAAAGCATATGCATTTGCATAGGGCCCGATTACTCCTCTAGGCGTTAGGCCCTTGCCTTCCGCCCCCTTATTGCATAGTGATTTTTTGAACATCGGGATTAACATGTTGGTAAATCGAGGTGCACAAGCACTTCAATTTACAACCCTGCAATTTTAATTGACTCCAATTCCCTTCTATTTGTGTTCATAATTAACTAAAAATTAGTTGCATTGCATGGTGTTTAGATTTAACTTTTCTAGTATAATTTTTCCCAAGGCTATAAACAAAGAAGCAATTTCGTCAGTTCTCAATTGATTGTGCAGTGGCTATATGTCTCCGGAGTATGCTATGGGCGGGATGTTTTCTGAAAAATTTGATGGCTATAGCTTCGGGGTCTTGCAATTGGAGATTATTAGTGGCAAAAAGAATACCAGCTTCTATTCTAGTGACCAACATATAGGCTTCCTAGCTTATGTAAGCTCACACTCTAAATCTTAATGCAAAATCGTATCTTTCATACTACTTAACAACCTATATGAAGCTAAATGCAGCATAGTTTAACAATTATGTCCAACATACATGAAATTTTGTCAGGCATGGCACTCATGGAATGAAGGCAGGGGTTTGGAGTTGGTTGATGAAGCATTGGCAGATTCATATTCACCTTCAGAATCTCTTGAAACCCAAAGGCATTGCATATGCATAGGTCAAAAGCACTTGGAATTGCATGCAATTATATTGGATTTTTGCCTCAGTTTAGGTGCACATCGATGGTGATGATGATGGCGATGTCAGTGGTGATGGTGGTTTGTGAGTGATAGTGGGGGAAGTGGGGAGTGGTGGTGGCAGTAGGAGTGAGGTGGTGGTGGTGGTGGGGTGGGAGTGGTGGCAATGTCGGTTGGGGTGATGGTGGGGCTGATAGTGGGGGTGGTAGTGGTGGTGGCGGTAAGGGTTAGGGTGGTGACAATAGCAGTGATATTGATGGTGTTAGCAGTGGTGGTGGTGACGATGGGGGTGATGGTGAGGCTGGTAGTGGGGTGGCAGTGGGTGGTGGTGCAGGCAGTTGTGGTGCTGAGGTGGCAGTGATGGCAGTGGTGGTGGCGGCGATGACGATGACTGTGGTGGTGGTGGTTGCGGCAGCAGCAATGGTGATGTTCCTCTGTCTAGGTTTAATCTCAAAATTGTAGGGGCATGAATATATGGAGGAGAGCGCATGTCCTGCAAACATTTGATGAAGGAGCAAATTCATTACATTGCCAAGGAGTGCGCATGTCCTGCAACAATGTAGGAGGCTTGTGACTCAAATTGGCGTGGATTTGGCACGTGTGGCATTTCTTAACAAAATCATATGCATCCCTTTTCATAGTAGGCCAATAATATTCAAAACTCAACAGCTGCCGGTGGAGCCTTTTCATTCCTTGATGCTCTCCGCATTCTCCAGCGTGTATCTCTTCCATGACTTGATGTGACTCCGTCTTTCCTAAGCATCGTAGAGGTTCCCCATTAAATCCCTTTAGATAAAGAGTCGATCCATCCACAAAATATCTCTTTACCGTCTTCTTAAGCTTATAGGCGAGCTTGGAATTGCTTGGCAGAGTTCCTTAAAAAAAAAATGCCAAATACAGGGCCCTCCAATCTTCTGCGAGTGAAATGGTGAAAGATTCCTCGGTAGTAGGTATTGTAAAACATTTGGGACAACTAGCCTGAACTTCAGCCGCTTGTTTCCTCATTTCTAGCCAAAAATAACCTTTACGCTGCAGGCGCCGATACAAGCTGATTACTGGTTCCAAACTGCAAGTAGCATCGTGCACTTCTTGCAGCCGCCTTCTCACTTCAATTATTCCTATGCATCGAGTCAAAACGCCTCCTGGAAGACGCCTGTAGAGTTCCCCAAAGATAATCACGTAAGTGTTGTTCCCCAAAGATACTACTTAATTACATATAATAAATTGAAGAAAAACAATGGCAAAGATATAATGGGGGCGGATCCGTGACACCATATTTTTGACACAAGTTTTGACATAATTTTTGGGCCATTAGATTACTCCACTTTTAATGGTTGAGATTAAATATGACATGGCAAAATAATATTTTTCTCTTTAATTAATATTTATACATTGGGATTAAAATCCTGATACCATATTAATTAAGAATTCATTCTCTCTCTTCTCATTAATTATCTTTAATTAATTAATTAATTCTCTCTCTTTCTTCTACAGAGAATTGACGCCTCTCTCTCTCTCTCTCTCTCTCTCTCTCCTCTCTCTCTCTCGTCCCCAAACCATTAATATTTGCATTGTGGTTTCATATCATTTTCATTTTCCTCCCAAATTTCTTCCTTTCACTTTTTATTTTAATTTCTAAGAGGTGGAAGAACTAACTGTCATCAGAGAATTTATTCAATGAAATACTTCATTGATCAAAGCTATAGACAAACCTTACTAGTTTCATATCATTTTCATTTGCCGATTCAATCAAAGGAAAGAGAGAGAGGCGTGAGAAGTGGGATTGTGGTTTGGGTATTTAGTTTTTGGTGAGATTGTTTATTTATTAGACCCTAATAAATATTTGAGATTAAAGAGGCAGGAGAGATTACGTCTTCTAGCAAAAAGGTTGGAGAGAGAAAAATTTCCTTTTATTTTTATGAGAGAGAAAATAAAATTAATGATTGTCTATTTAAAAAATTAAAACTACTTGCCATATAATATTTAATCTCAACCATTGAAAGTGGAGTAATTTAATGGCCCAAAAATTGTGTCAAAACTTATGTCAAAAACGTAGTGCCACGGATCCGCCCCTATATATATATATATATGGATAATTATTTGTATAATATTTATTTGTTACTTGTTACTTATTAGCGATTTCATAATGGAAAATCTATTTAATGTTTTATTTTCCGAGGCCCAATTCTAAACAAAATAATATATCTAAATAGGGCATTTGGTTTTATTGGTTTTTTAATACGAGGCCCAATTGAAAGCCCATCACTCCTTCTGTTTTTTCCCATCAACAGAAGCCGAGGCCCAAGTCTAACATGAGTCGTCTACAGCCCCTCCCTGCGACCTCTCATCTTCTTCAATCCTCATCTCGCCACCCCAAAATCTGAGCCACCATCATCATCTCGTCCTTGACCTTGGAGATTACAAAATGGCGTTTTTTTTTCTGGGTCCGAATCGCCCAGACCGCCTAGCCAGCCTAGGCGGCCGCCTAGCGCCTAGTCGCCGCCTAGGCCGATTTTTCGAACACTGCCTGATCATCAGAAACCTCTGCAGAAAATAGTATATTCTTATAGCTTCCTGATGCTAATTCCTTGCCTAAACTCCTTGAAAAACTTCCTCATAGGAAATCAGGCCCGCCCACCCGAAAGCCATTGTTCATGAATAATTTCTGCATTTATTTGCTTGCACTAGTCTAGGGAGGAAAAACATGTGGTGCATTTCTTTCTTGACCGAGAAAAGCAACTAAAACATTAGAAATAAGCAAACTGACGTTGAACCCAATCTATTTCATTCAGTTTCTGCCAGTGCCAACCAAGCAGGCAATTCTCTCAAGAAAAAAAACATGCGTTCATGGCAGAACCAGTTACAGTGCGCAATAACTTGCCAATGTCATCAGAGGGAGGCCCTACAACAACATACTAAAATGATGAATTCCCTACCCTCCATAACAAAATCACCATCCGAAAAAGACAACTTGCAGACAAGTATACTATCTTCCTGGACAATCATTATTGAAGATGCAGAGCTTGAAAATCTTGTTAGATACCCTGCACTGCATGCATGGCCCGTATACTAGGCCGACTGCCGTTAAACGCAGACCTAAGCACGCAGACTTTGCTGTTTGTGGACTGGACTGCCCCTCCACAACTAAATTGACCAACTTGAAACGACAGGACCAAAGTGTTAAAAGTGGAAAGTGAGTTTAAGCATACGCTACCATTCGTCTTCCCGAGCCACCACCATCACCTGCGCCTTCACCTCTCTCGCTCTCTCATGGCTACCGCTACTTCAGCTAAGCGAGTCGGCACTCATAATGGCAGCTTCCACTGCGACAGAGCCCTCGGCTGCAGGGTCTACAAGTTAGTTAAGTAGCATCCTAGTTCCTTCAGGTTCTGATTGATAGATTGGTTCGAGTCACTGTGATATATTGGTATCTTAATTTAGTGTTTTAAAAAGCTTTCCCCTTTGTGTGTTCTGTACACTACACACAAATGCATGAATTTGCTTTTGTAATTTTTCTGACCCGGTGGTATTTGTGAATTGTGGCACTGTCGTGTGTGCTGGGGGTCTTATTCACACTATTTGGGCTGCCTGTATTAGCCTAGGCACTGGAGCAGATCAAGTTAATCTTTCCTTACAAAGGGCACACCTCTGGCAAAGTTGGAGAGGAAACATTTTTCCAAAGGTTCGGGAGGAGGTTCAGAACAACAGGTTGTGAGATCAATTTAAAAGAGATTGCTTTATTGGAGGGCAAAGTGAACAAACTATGCTGCTTACTGAAGGAAGCTGTTGAAAGAACGAAAGACAACATTGTGAAGAAACAGGCTTTGACATATGAAGAAATCAAAGCAGAACCTGAAGAGCAGGAAGAAATTGAAACCGAAAGTCATGACGAGGAGAACGAGCAGCAGATTCACAACCCACTCAAATTGCCACTGGGTCCGGATGGGAAGATAATATATTACTGGATGTATAAGCTTCATGGTCTCGGTCAGGAATTCAAGTGTGAGATATGTGGGGATTCCAGTTACTTTGGGCGCAGAGCTTTTGAGATACATTTTAATGGAGAGTGCCATAAGCGCGGGATGCGTTGCCTTGGCATACCAAAGACCAAGAGCTTCAATGAGATCACATCAATTGAGGAAGCAAAAGAGCTGTGGAAGAGGATACAAGAACGGCAAGGCGAGAACTTGTGGTGCCCGGATCTTGGAGAAGAGTATGAAGATGAAGAGGGTAACATTTACAATAAGAAGACATACAATGATCTAAAGCGACAGGGGCTGCTTTAAGTTTAAATGATTTGTAATTAGTCTTTAGCAAATTATGGGTATGAGATGACTAGTAGCAGATTTTTCTAAATCTTATGGTTAATGTGTACGGGATTTCTTGCCTCCCATTTGGCTGCTTCCAACACTGGAAACTGATGTTAACGCTTCTTTAGAGGAATAAATTTTTTTATCGTTTATTGGCTTTAAAAAAAACTAAGCGTAACTCAGATTTCATAACAAAGAGTGATTCATAATTCCGCGTATTACAAAATCTATGACAAAATAGTCTTCTGGGTTTCTCTCTGGTCTCTCTAAGTTGTCTTTGTATACCTTATACTCTTTCTCAGTACTTTGTTTCATTCACTTGCTCAATCTTCCCATCTTCTTCTTCTTCTTCTCAAGCTCTCTCTATACATAGAGAGACAAAGCATTACAACTAACATGGACTTACATCGATGTACTTGGCGAGCGGTGGAAGTTAGTGACAGCAGAATTAGTCAATTGCACACTATATTGTGACTATACGGAGAATACTAAATGGTTTAGGCTGCCTTGCTTATATCCTATACGATGCACTACGTAGCTCAGGTCTTCCATTTTTACTCTAATCTACTGAATCGACCTCCTCTTCTGGCAGTTCAAATGCATCAATCTCGGCAAAGTACGCTCTCTGCTTTTCAATGAAATCTTGTGGCAAGGCATGCATGGAAACATCTTTCCCAGCTGGTACCGCACACTGCTTCTGCAGAAGTATTACGCACAAATTAAAAGTGAATAACTACAAACCCAGACTTTATTGTACAGTGGGATTTGTTGTCCCTTTAGGAAAAAACATGAACTCAGCTGTTTGAACAAACAAACAAACTCCTAGAACAAACTTCGGTCCAGTATAACTGTAACAATTGTTTAAACAAGTGAAAAAGAATACACAGACTAAGTATATAGCCCAAACAACTCAACCTCACATTTGAGAAATAAGCAATCCTTCCATAGACACACTCTACCCTGTTGTTTGAAATTCTTGGGGCCTTTGGGGTATATACAAGTTCTCCTTAAGAAAGCACAGTATATAGTTTTGGACTGATATGAAGGCATAACATTTTTATAAAAGATAAACACTGGCCAATTGATTGTAGAAACCAGGCCCCAAGCCAGATATAAAGTAGCAGTTTCTACCCAAAACAACAGAAAAGTCACTAATATTAACTTTAACAAACCTTTTTGCGAGGAGCCGTGGATTCCTTTGATAGACTGTTATGTCCGTCTTCCTTCAATTTACCCCTGTTTCAAATGGCAGGAACACGTACAACAGAATTAGTAAAACTTCACACGATATCCCAATACCCCGATTTCTTCCCCCCTTCCTTCATCCCGATTTCTAGCCCTAGAGAAGAAATTTCATGTTGTTAAGTTACAGCGTCGTAGCAAATTGTCAAGCTGCCTGAAGAATACCTTCCTTCTCAACACTCCCATAGGAGAAGAAAGAAGAAAGAGAATATATTTTGTAACCGAAAGAACAAAGAGAAAAGAAAGAGAAATTCCATCAAGCATGTTATCTATGTATACACATCATGGATTCACATCTTATTCAAGAATTGCATAATTGAATACCATAAACCTATTAAGGAGTAGATACTTTCTCTTCTTTTCCAATGTGGGACTCAAGTTCATCTATTAAAATCAAACTCCAACAAGTAATTGATATTATCAAATCACGTTGTGACTTGGATTTAAGTTTCGAGGCTAAAATCCATTTTTGGGATACTAAAATATTTGGGTACTCAAACTAAATTTCTAGGATTTTTATTAAAATATTCAATACTAATTATTCACTAAAGAAATAATAACTAAAAGATAATTACTAATGAAAGTATTTAAATAAGGCTAAGATATTATTTAATTAATAAAAAAATAAGTTTAAAACTGATATTTTAAGGGTATAGCCGGGCGGCTGTACTCTATAAATAGAATATGTTAACACTCTAGCCGTGGGCTATACTCTATAAATAGAATTTTAACAGCACAGCCTTGCAGAATAGAGCTTACACAGCCGATCGGCTAGACTTTATAAAATAGAATATTTTAAAAGTATAGCCGCCCGGCCGTACCCGTTAAATAGCATAATCTTAAGGGAGCTTTAGTAATATACCCCCAAATAGGACTTGAAATTATATATAAAAAAAACCCTATATAAAATACACTTCAGAAACACACCCAAAAACCATTTACTATCTAAAAAATGAGTGTTGAAGTTCCTATAAATTATATATCTGTTATTGATTAACTTAAAACAAGCCTAATACAAAAAAACTAAAAAAAAAATCCAAAATAAGCCCAACAAGTCCAACTTAGATTTGACCACCCAAAAAAAAAGGCCGAGCAAACCCGAAGTACATTGTTAATACCATGTCATAGAAGTACATTATTAATATCATGTCATAAAAATACATTGTTAATATCATTTCATAGAAAAACATTGTTAATACCATTTCATACAAAAAACTCAAGCAAGACATCCAATATCCTTTGCAAAAACCACCTCCAATTGTCTATAATTTCACCAGAAACAATCGCAAAGGCAAAAGGAAATACCTCTACAAGAAAAAAAAATACACTGTTAATACTATGTCATAGAACTATCTTCCTAGTAAAAATCACATTATGCATATCATAAATTTCAAGTGCACAGCTATATATAGAGCAAAATATATAGCATGCTTTGTTACGAAATCAACTCAGTTGTAGGGTATGAATAGTATAACAAATGTTCATATTACTTACTGGAAGCTAACAACATCATTTCATTCCTGCCACCATTAGAATCAGCATATTTGTGAGGAGAGAGAGCCGCCGGACAAGACTTCAGAGTAGGGATCTAGCAGCATATGAAGCTTGATTCAGATACATCATCATTTTGGCGCCGGGGGGTGGGGTGGGGGGCGCGGGGTGTGGTTCAGGATAAGAAGCAAGTTTCTCATCCCCTGCATAGGAGGGGTTAGTTTTGGTTGCTTAAATTTTGGAAATATGTAGTCATAGCTTGGTTGGTTGGTTCCTCTGTCTCCAAAGCCAAAGCCTTGAGTGCGACAAAATCCAAATTACCAGTCTTTCTCATAAACAAATTACCATTGTAGATCAATCACGGATTCCTAACATAGAAAATAAGAAACTCATAAAAAACAAAGCCTAACCAAAATTACCAAAAGCAAAACCAGCAAAATGAAGAGGAACCACAGAGTGATCAAAAGAATAGAAGCCAATTTAACCCAAATGTCAAAATCTTCTTCTTCTTCTTTTCCGGATCATCAGAAGTATGTAGTGAACATGTTAACACAGGAAATTAATATCAAATTCCATTCCATTCCATCACAAAGAAGAATAGTAACATAATTAAATAAAATGAAAGCAACAGGGGAGCTTCGTGAAGTGTACCTGAAAGGTGTGGTCTGGGAATGAATTGTGAAGCAAAAACAGATGGATAGAAGAGAAGAGAAACTGAGGCAAAGTCCTCCACCTCCTTGTGCTCCCTCCAGAACTGGAGACAACTGCCGGAGTCGCCGGAAACGGCGTCGGAAAACTCGAAATCTAGAGACCTTTCCGAGCTCGCAGCGGCGTCGTGAGTGGTTGAGGTGGCTGTGATTTAGCCCAGACATGATCACCGGCCCTGGCCCGTCCTTTTCCGATCGGTCTCATGGTTGGCCGTGGCTGGAGCACCAAGATCGCCGGCTAACCTGGTTTCCGCGAAGGGAGAGAGACGAGAGAGAGAGCCCCAGAATTTTTCAAAAAAACTAATTTAATACTAAAAGGGTAATAAAAGTATTTCATTTAACTAATTAAACTAAAAAATTTAACAGCTGTGAGTTTTGAGTTTTTTTGGGTGTGTTTATATACATTGAATGATGTAGGGTTTCTTTATAAAACTATGTCTAGGAATGGATATTTAACTAATTTTCTATAATCTTAATTTCTCTTTTTCAATTACTTTATTTAGTAGTTATGTTTTAATTACTATTTACTTAGTGATAATTAGTATTTAAATATTTTATTAAATAATAATTACCATTTTTTAAATAATATAATTTATGAAGTTAATTAAAATATTTAATTATTCGCTAAATAAATAACAATTAAGACATAATTACATATGAAAGTAATTAAATAAGGCTAAGATATTATTTAATTACTAAAAATAAAATTTATTGGACCTTAAGATACTAAGTATATATATATTTAAAAAAACACTCCCGACAAACTTTCGTCGACACAGGTCTATCCCGGCGAAATGTGCCAAATTAGACCTCTCTCTACGACATTTCGACGACTAAGGTGAGTTTAGTCAGGAGAGGTCTAATCAGCAAATTTTGCTGGGATAGATTTGTCTCGACAAACCTTCGTCGCGAGAGGTTTTATTGCTTTTTTTAAAAAAAAATTTAATTTTAAATATATAAAATTATTTCCTTTACTTTTATTTTTTGGCCAACTTCTTTAGTTTAATATATGTAATTAAGTAATATCTTAACCTTTTTAATTACTTTAATTGGTAATTATGTTTAATTATTATTTCTTTAGTGAATATTTAAAACTCATTTCATAAATTACTAAATAAATAGTAATTAATTTTTTAAAATTATTTTGTGGACTTTGTTTTTAATTTTTTTAAACACAAAATTAGTTTGGGTAAATCCAAGTCTGGAACCAAAAACCCTAACTTCCGAAATTATTCCAAAACCTTTCTCAAGCCTCGAACCCTAACCATAAGCCTACTAAGGAGTAGATACTTTCTCTTCTTTTCCAATGTATGACTCAAGTTCATGTATTTCAATGAAACTCCAACAAGTAGTTGATATTATCAAATCATGTTGTGACTTGGATTTAAGTTTCGAGACTAAAATCCATTTTTGGAATACTAAAATATTTGGGTACTAAAACTAAATTTCTACGATTTTTACTAAAATATTAAATACTAATTATTCACTAAAGAAATAATAATTAAAATATAATTACTCATAAAAGTATTTAAATAAGGCTAAGATATTATTTAATTAATAAAAAATAAAATTTTAAAAATGATATTTTAAGAGTATAGCAGAACGGCTATACTCTAAATAGAATTTTACACTTCGACCAAAAAAAAGAAAGAATTTTAAACGTAAAGCCGCACAGCTATACACTTTAAATAGAACATTTTAAAAGTACATCCACGTGGCTATATAATTTAAATAGCATAATCTTGATTTCTTTTTTTCAATTACTTTGTTTAGTAGTTTTGTTTTAATTACTATTTACTTAGTGAATAATTAGTATTTAAATATTTGATTAAATAAAAAAATTAAAAATAATCATTCACATTTATTGCGTAATATAATTTATTAAATTAATTAAAATATTTAATTGTTCGCTAAAGAAATAACAATTAAAACATAATTACATATGAAAGTAATTAAATAAGGCTAAAATAAAAATTTATTGGACCTAAAGATACTAAACTAATATATATATTTTTAAACTCTCTCTCAACAAAACTTCATCGGCATAGGTCTATCCCGACGAAATTTGCCGGATTAGATCTCTCCCGACGACATTTCGTCGGCAGAGGTTAATTTCGTCGAGAAAGGTCTATTCCGGCAAATTTCGCCCAGATAGATCTGTCCCGATGAACCTTCGTCTGGAGAGGTTTTTTATGGACTGGCTTGGGTAAAGGGAATTTAAGTTTTTAGGCATGTGAAATTGTTGGATGCCTTTGTGATTTCTGGTATGTTCTACGTATTTGGTGGGCTTGATCTTCTATGTTTTGTGGATTTATGTGGACAAGTGGGTCACTTAAAATCTTGGAATTCTAGAATTATGTGTTCTAGTTATTCTAAGAAACATGCATAATTAACAACCCAGGGGCTAAGAGAAGCTAAAACACTTGTTGACGACACAAAGAAAAATGAAAACAATACAATAACACCCACCCCCAAATTTCTTCTTCCCCCTAACCCCTGGATTTCTTCTCCTCCCTCCTCCCAGATGTTAATATGAATAAAACTGTGAATTTGTGGGAGGAAGGAGGGGGGAAAGAAATCGGGAGGAAGAAAGGGGAGGGGGTCTAGATGAGACCCATAGTGCTACGTAGGCAACTAACGGAAAGATCTGACTGAAATCTAACGGTGGAATTACATTGTAACAAATTTAAAAGACAGGAGTATGTTATTGTAAAAATTGAAAATGTAGGGACTAACATGTCATGGTCATGCATTACCAAGTGACCACGTGGAGATAATGATACAAGTAGATGAAGAAAGTAGAGAGACTGCTCTTCTTTTTTAAGAGTGTTTCTACTTTGGTTTTTTGTTTTTTTGTTTTTTAATCTGATTCCCTTTTTCTACTATGATTATCAGTATTTTACCTCTCCCTCATGGACTTTATTGCAATGGGAGCGTTGTTCTTCTTGACAATATAGCTGCATTGTAATTTCGTTATGTGTAGGGTAACTCATTGGGTTAAAAATAGAGTAACTCATTGGGTTAGCCTTTTCTAGCAAACGATTTTCAAATTCAATCCCAATATATCAGAAAAGGAAAATATGAAAGTTTTTAATCTTTCTCTCTCTCTCTCTCTAAAGACATACATGAGCACCAATACTAAATATCAAATACTCTTGTTTGTTTATGTTGCTGCCCCCATCATCACGATGCTGTTTCAAACTATAACAAAGAAAAAAAAATCATGGATCAGAATTAGAAAGGAAAAAAATAGAGATAGAACTAAATAAATAATTTTAATTAAAAAAAAATTGAAGTGGGATACCTCACCTCTGCTACTTTGTAAGAAGGACATGCTAATCTTTTTCTTAACAACAAAGAAACTATATAATTCTGTAAGTCGCTCCGGGAACAATGAAGTAAGCTCTTGTTCCACTTCATGCATTGTCTATAAAAAGAAAAAAAATGTCAAGATAATTTCTGTCTAAGATATTTGTATTAAAAAGAATTTAAAATAAAGTAATTAGTGTGATGTGCGTACCAAAGATTTTTGATTGGTCTTGGCCAAATTTTTACCGATACGATCCACTATGTTTTTCGAATAAGTAAGCTCTACCACAGCGTTATTTTGATAACCATCTTCCCGCTGATATGTTTCTTGATAAACAGACTCAAAAGCTATGGCATATTTGGAGTTTTGAATGGTTGTTTCGATGTTCCTTTTCCCGTAAGATGGGATGTGATTCTCCGTGTAATTTGCATAGTCAGTCTCCCAATTCTCCACACACATAACTTCGATCAAGGCTTCATGCGGAAAATAATATCTCTCATTACATGTCATGAGTAGGGGATGATGCCACAAATCCGCCAAAGTCACACTATAAATAAAAATATATAATTAATCCATTAAAAATACAGCAATAAAAGGAAAAACAAGCCAACAAAAAAAAAAGTTAAATTGTTTCCTTACCCTTGGATTTCAGCCATCTCATAAAAGTGTTTCAACTCCCTTTTTCTATCATCCTTACCAAGGATTCTTTCAAGCACAAATTTGCATTGGTGCTTACACGATCTTCCCCCGGTTTGAACATAATTTCGAAAACTACGCTGCACTTGATTATTAACAATAGTTAAGTGCTCAAGATCCAAATTGCACCGGTCAAAGTACCTCTCTAATTCAGCAAATATGTGAATAATATTCCTATAAAACAGGTACATGTTAACAATGTTAGAAATATATATATATATATATATATATAAGAATAAAAAGAAGAAGGTAAAATTGTATCTAAGAGGGAAAGAAAAAAAATACAATAAAGCACCCTACGCCAACCATTCAGACTAGGAAACTAAATCTAATTAACAAAAAGGTATTTATGTGTTTAGGAGAAGATCACAGCTGCAGTAGATTTGAATTTTAAACTTCCCTTATATTAACCCGAATAAGAGTTTTGGCAGGAATTCGATCCTAATGGGTCGGGTATGAAGGATAAGAAATGGGTATGGGGACGAGTACATGGAATTTTTCAAGTATGGTCTATAGGAAGGGGCGGGGATGATATTTTAATCCCTAACCCGAACCCTATGTATAATTTATTTTTCATATAAATATATCATTAAGATGTGTGATGGTGGTGCTACCTCTATAATGATGATCATGTATTGAACATGTATTAATATTTTTTTTTAAATAGCCTAGACTATTAGTTAATAAAAATTGAATTGGTACATATTTTGTGCTCATAGTGTTTTTTTCTCATTCAACAAAATAGCTTTTTATTTTATTTTATTTTCGTAATGAGGTGAGTGATGAAGGTGAGTATGGGGAATCCTCAATTTAAATATTGGGGGTATGAAGGCGGGGATGGGGGAAAATACTTAACGGGGATGGGGATGTGAATTGTATACCCACCCCCGATTCGATCCATTGCCATAATATATTTAAACTATAAGCCAAAAAAACAAACGTGAGATTTTTAGATATACTTACCGAATAATGCGGCGATAATTATCCACAATATAATTGTCATTCCACACTTGGCGATGACTCTGTGAATACTCAGATAATGACTGCATATCCCTTCGTTCTATATCTGGCTGTTACGTATTCCTTCGTTCTTTATTTCTCTCACCGTTAGGGTTTTGAACTCTTAGTCTTAGGGTTTTGAGTGGAGTACTATTTATAA